TTTAATTAAAAAGAACGTAAAATTTAAATTTTGACCAAGGTTAATACAAAATGTGGTTAATACTTACTAGGTGTACATGTTTTGAGGCGATACAATCTTTCCAACACTTTTGTAATTTAAGACATGTTGGAAAGGTTATGGTCTTATTATTTTGGGATCCAAAAGAAATTTTGGATCCCAAAATAACTGGAACCAAACCTGATCGGTTTGGCTCGCTACCCCTGATACACGCTCGGTTTTAAACGACGAGCCAAGTAAAAAATAAAACAAACTGACGAGCCGCGAGCCAGGCTCGTAGGTATATAAAACCGCGGTATTGCAATGATACACTGAGGAGCTTTACCGACGAGCCACAAAACCGCAGTTTTACTCGCCTGTCGATCAGGGCCTTTAGCAAGCGATATCGCTGCAATGGGAACGTAATCACCGAAACTGAAGCCTATTTTGAATCCAAAGATAAATAGTTTTACAAGGGTGGTATCCAAAAAAAAATACATGTTTTGAGTCACTAAATATCTGGGTAAAAGCCCATTAAAAGTTATAGGTTTAAATTTAGTTTACATAGGACTTGATATTAGCAACTGATTGAAATGACAATATTGACATATTAGGAGAGAAGTTCAAACAAAGCAGTCAGTATTTAATATGTATTTAATATTGAATATGTATTTAAACATGACAGAAGCCAGCAATATTTAAAAATTGAATAAGTTACAATTAAAATAATATAACAGTAGCAACATAAAAACCACAACATTGATGTTTGCTACTGTTAACTTATTTAATTTTTAAATATTGCTGTCTTCTGTCATATTTCTACAAATACATTAAGTTACACTGACTGCTTTGTTCTTTTTGACAAAGGGGTGTCAGATTACCAAATATGTTCGGATTATTCAATTTATATTTGTCATTGTTTTGCTAGCAGTAGCCAACAATATTCTTAAATTTTATGAGTAAAATGCTACCCAGATTAATATGCAAAAACACTAATTTCGGCTAACTAAAACATGTTTGTTAGAAGAAATATGAAAGTTAATAAATTTAATGTACATACAGTGTGTAAATAATAACTTAAAACGTTATACGTACTAATAACTTAATGCCACAACTAAGGTAGATTAATTATAAACGTATGTACCTAAGTACATATTGTGCACACACTTTGACGAAATCTTTGATTGTCTTTTGCGTTTCCTTGTTTCGACATTCTGTCATTGCTTGTTCCTGTATCTCCTTTAATATCAAAAGTCATATGCTCTCTTCTCGCATCAACGCATAAAAGTGTTTGCAGCCAATATAGCATCATCACAGTTGACAGTGAAATATTTTCCATCCTGTGCTTTCTGGGTCACATGTTCATCAGTTTCTGACATTTCTTTAATTATTTCTTCATCTGTTAAGCCAGCAATGAGATTTTGATCTAAAATCCAGTCTTGTAAAGCTTCTCTTGATTCTGATGAATAGTCATATCGTTGCAAATTTAAAGGGCAGCATCTAATATAACTTGCACTGTTTGTTGATTGGATTCTTCGTTAACTTATATTGGAAGGAGTAGGTTGTTGGGCCAAATAGTCTTTCACGATTTAATCAGTGTAGTAGGCTTGACTTGCTGACAGGCAAACGCAGCATTGATAATCATATCTTCGATGTTAAAGTTTTTCAAAATTGAAGTAATGTCAGCATTATGTTGACTTACAATATCCACAAGGAGTTATTTCTTGTAGAGTACCTTGAGAGTTTTAATAAGGTTTTGGTGCATGGACTGAATCAATATATATATATATATATATATATATATATTATATATATATATATATATATATATAGGCTTTGCCACATGTACGTAATTGGTAGCTTCTCAATTTTAACATTTTTGAAGGCACGAGGCTATGCAGCCGGGACATAAATATAAACTTAAGAACGAGAATGTTAAGGTGCTATGTTTTCTCCGTTTTGCTGAATGGCATAGAAGCCTAGACACTGAAAAAGATAAACATCAAAAACATTGAGTCATTCGAGATGTGGTGTTACAGGAGAATGTGGAAAATACCATGGACAGAAAGAGTAACAAATCGAGATGTTCTGCTGAAGATGGGGAAGGAATGCGAAGTCATAAAAACCATACAAACGAAAAAACTGGAATATCTGGGCCACATAATGAGAGGAGAAAAGTACTCTCTGCTTAGACTCATAATCCAAGGAAAAGTCTCGGGAAAGAGAAATCTGGGACGTAGGAGGATTTCCTGGTTGCGAAATTTAAGGGAGTGGTATGGGTGCAGTTCAATACAGTTGTTCAGAGCTGCAGCCATCAAAGTAAAGATTGCTGTGATAGTAGCCAACCTCCGATCTTCTTCTTCAAGTGCCGTCTTCGTTCCGAAGTTTGGCTATCATCAAAGCTATGCGTATTTTTATGCGTATTTTTAACCTCCGATAGGAGACGGTACTGCAAGAAGACGAAGAAGGCACGAGGTTTGTTGGACTTACCCACGGTTAGCATGGGTATGAATCAATGCAATAGCATCTAAAGTGCCAAATGTCTTTATTAAATGTTTCATCAGCGTTATAAAGTTTTTCAGGAATTAGGTCTAATTCTGATAACTTTCTGCTTACACTCTGAATAAATTCAGATATCGCAGACTCATCTGCACTTAACTTATCTCCATTCATCTGCAAAAATCGTATGCCGTACCGTTTTTTGAAGGTTTTGAACCAACCTTGACCAGCACCAAAATCAGTTTTCTTTGTTAATTCCTGATAAAAAAACTGAGATTAATTTTGTAAAATATCACCTTAAATAGGAGCTTGTCTGCTTCATTGTTGCTTAAACTAGATGTGCAGTGCTTCTTCAACATCAGGAAATTCACTAATTTTAAGGGTTTTTCCGTCTTTAGAATCATTCTCTACATATTTCACAAATTTTTCGATTTTGTCTTTGTTTTTTATGATGTCGTACACTGTAGCTCGTTCAATATCATAGAACCTAAATATCGCAGTCGGAGTTTAAATTACTATATCGAAACACCCTATCAAATCGAACTTACTCCAATAAGCAGACACGGCGTCAACCTTGACGGGAGGTGTTTCGGACTACCGAGCGTGTCGGATTGCAAAAAGTCAAAGTATCAAGGGTGTATTGTAGTTAAATTTTTTTCAAAAAATCAAAAAACATTTATTTTAAATTAATATCCATGGCACCAGAAATAACAGCGAGAACATCACAGAGTTTCACTCTTATTTTAGCGTAATTGTTGGGCTTAACCTTGGTGAATTAGTGAACAGGATTTTATTTGGAGTGCTAGGAGATTTGGCCAATTCAAACACCGTTTAAAATTTGACTGCTTAAATAATAACTTTAAAATAGAAATGCCACAATAAATATCGAACTCTATTTTCTTTACTAAGCACCCTCCATACTTTTCCAAGTATATCATGTGAGTAAACTAATTTTTCTTTTGAAACGAACATTTTATACTGGAATTGTATTACTATCTCTTTATAGTAAAATGCCGAGGCGAGCGTCACGAGAGTAGCGCCACGAAATAGTTGCAAGAGTCCATTTACGCGTTGAGGAGACTCCGTTATACAACATGTAAACTTTTTTAATTTTAATAAAATCTATAATAAGGATATTAACTAACAGCGGTTTTACATACTTTCGAATGCGTCTCAGATGCATATAATATGATTATACACTAGTTGGTAAAATTATGGAATAAACTCATTATTCGAGAATAGGCGACTTTAAAGATAAGTCGGGAAATCGATTCGATTTTTATTATTATAATTTTTTGGCATATATATTATACTAGTGACCTTATTTATTTGAGCATGATAGATGGATTAATTTAAGGACAGAGGTGGAGTGCCAGCTCATTTAAAACGTCGTTTAATCATCTATAACATTTATAACATTAACACAATAATTATTCCTACAGAGTGGCTAAAAATAGTTAATTTTTAAATTAAATGAATTTACACAAGAAGTATGTATGTAATTTATTTATTACAAAATATATTTTACTGCGTCTAAAATTATTACAATGTTTATTTGACAAATAGCAATAATTGCTTTTAGCTTACATTAAATGTTCAAATTGCTACCCACTTGCTTCTTTATTGCCAATTGAGCCAACGACGACAATCTCCTTCAACGCTATGGCTCATTTCGGGAGTTGTATTACGAATTTAGAATTTAGTTCTATTTTTTTTTAATTTTGTAGATGATCGATGTAAACCTTGAATTGTGAATAACCCCATATAAAACTCAAGTGATGTAAGATCTGGAGACCTTAAGGATCACTCTATTGTTCCTCGTCTACCATTCCACCCCCTAGGAAAACAATAGCAGTTTAAAACTTTTAAGAAAATCATGAAAATAAAATCTTCCGACGATAAATATAGATCATTTAACGCATCTACTGTGATGAAATTCATAGATAACTCATTCATCAGATTGTCTGACTGAACTAGTTTTCCGATTTTGCTGTTTGACGGGTGAAATGTTTCGGGAAAATTATATGAAAAATGCCCCAGAACCAAAAAAAATCGCAGAGGGAAACCGTGTTAGACTCAGCCTAATGAAGCGATACCCAAAGTTTGGAGAGAGTGTGTATCATAAACTTTTTACCGATGGGCATTTTAACTAATAGAAATTGGTCAAATAAAGCAGACTTTTAATATAGGAGATAGCAAAATGGTTTTATCTTCGCTAGTGTTAAATTTGTTGCGGTATTATTTGATTTTATACATATATTTCTACATTTTGTGACTCAACAAAATATTCGTACTAACCATTAAAATAAATAAACTGAAAAATATGTTTGTTAATGCAAATTATGCGGTACTTTCTCTTTTTTGTGTACCCAGTCTATTACACACTGATATTCACCTAAACGTGGAAATTGAAATTTATTCGTATTGTATGGTACCTAATTAGAAGTCAAATGAACTTGAAACTGGAACCACAAAATTATTAATAACCAATATTTGTTTTGTAGGTTATGGCCAGGATTTCGGATATGAAGGAAGTATGGGTAAGTGGAACACCATTTTTTATTATTTTGATTATAGTAATAAGATTAAAAATAAATCATTAATAAAAATGTTTATAGGTTTTTTATTAAATTGGTCTATTTAATTTATATTTAGTCTTTAAAAATTTATTATATTATTTCGCTGATTATACTTAAAGTAATAATTTGTTGTCTTCTTATAATTTATTCATAATTTTTCTGCTCACATATGAGGCACATAGAATAATAATAGTCTAACTCCAAATACATTAAATTTGGATAATTAAGGTACTTCTTCTTCTGAGATGCCAAAGTCAGAAGACAGAATATATTTTTGCCCAGCATCAGAAAAGAGAACCTACACGTAGACTCTAATGATAACGGTCTCAAAATCATAAACTTTGCGATGTCTAAGAACATGATAATAGGTGGGACACGATTTCCCCATAAAGATATACATAAGGGAACTTGGAAATCTCCTAATAATGAAACGATTAACGAAATAGATCATATAATCATCAATGAAAGACACTGGTCTAACTTATTAGATGTTAGGTCTTTTAGAGGAGCAAACATAGATAGTGATCACTATTTAGTTAAAGCACGATTTAAAGAGAGAATATTTAATTTTAAAAAGACGATCGGGAAAAGGAGAGAAAAAATCGACATTAATAAACTAAAAGATCCCGACATTGCAAATGTATACAGATAGCAAATAGAAGATCAAATTAGGAGAAAAAACTCAGCATATTAAAAAACCATCAAAGCAGTTTGTACTCGGAGAGAAAAAAAATAGTATAGACGTGTTAGAAGAAAGGAAAAACGTATCCATCGACGTAAGAAGAGGAAATACAAAAAGCGCTCTTAATGAGATACAAAGTTTATTCGATGATAAAAATGATGATAAATTCTGAATGGCTATTACTTAAGGATGTTTATCCTTAAATAATAGCCATTCAGAATTTAAACCACGATTAAAAAATTGTAAATACATTAACGGTGAAATTCTACATGATAAAAACTCAGTTCTTAACACATGGGCACAACATTTCAGCGAACATCTAAATATAAACATTATTTAAGGAGGTTACAACAGAGGCAATCAACAAAATCTACAACGTCGACTACACAGTGAAGACCCAACAAAAGAAGAAGTGTCAAATGCCATCCTAAAACTCAAAGAAAATTAAGCCCCAGGAATTGATAAAATCTGTTTGGAAATATGTAAAAAAGGTGCTGACCAACTTTTTGCAGCAATCAGTAAACTAATAGTACTTATATGGCAGAATGATTGGTATCAGAAGAGTGGCTAAAGGGAATAATATGTCCGTTGCATAAATAGGGCGATCAACTGGAGGGTAAGAACTATAGAGGCATTACTTTGTTAGCATCTGCGTATAAAATTTTCGGCAACGTATTGTTTAAAAGACTTAAACATTTTACACAAGATATTGCTGTTCAATATCAATGCGGATTTACTGCTGAAAAATCAACTACACATCAAATTCAAGTACATAGACAGATTCTAGAAATGTTTCTAGAATATAACATGTAACGAACTATTTTGCTTACCTCAGGGTAAGAATATGGGGGACAAGATTGGACAAACAAAATAATCGGAACTAGTGCGTACGGCACTCAGAGGGTTGTTGTAGAGCGGGGTCGTGGATAAGTTGAAATAAATTTGGGTCGAATTGGGGTATCTACTAAATGAAAACAAAGGGATACTTACATAAATCTCCTGGGCAATTAATACAACAAAAAAGAAGCTTCTAGCAATTTGAGATAAGGGCGCCGCTTCGAAGGATCCTAGTTTGCTGAAGGAAAGACAAAATTCTTCTTTCCTAAAATCAAATATACATATAAGAATTAGGAGACTTTTCTAAATTAAAACACAAAATGGATCAGACAAAGAAATCGAACGTGTATTCTTGTCTCAAACAAACAGTTTTCAAAAATACATATTATACAAGAGCATACTATATAACAAATTAACAAAAACTTACTTGTTATTTGTTTACAAAAGAAATGGCTACAAAAATTCTTGAAATGGTTCCTAGGTTATAATATAGCCAAATTAGATTATCAAAAAACTTATGGACATACTTTTTATGAAAATACTGTAGAATTTAATATCTAATAATAATATTTAACTTATATATGAAATATCTTTTATATATCATAATCAAATTGAAATTGTTTTACAACAACAATGGATTAGAGCAAATATCATATGTCAACATAACATTTTAAATCAGAACAAAATATGACATTTTTAGCTACGATTCATAATGACGTCCAGGCGCACCAATCACGCGCCTCGACTTTGCCTAGTCCTCCCTTTTTTAGGTTTCATGTAAAAGTTAAAATACTTTAAATATGGGACATTTTCGGATCTCGCTCTCAGTCGTGGTTTTACTCTCAGAGAATAGCCGTCGAGCTCCTCACTGGAGGACTCGGCAATTTTCACACAAACCCGTAAAAGACTCTGACGCTGAGTTTTTTTCTACTTAGAAATACTGTGTTTTATTTCTAAAGTACCTACACCACCTGCAGCATTGTCTTTTACAAGATAATGACCAAAACAGAGCGTACCGGCTAACTACGCAATATTTCACAATATTGTGCAATAGTTAGATGATATTAGTAAACATGGTTATGGCACCGAGATGCATTTCAATTTCCTACGTTTACTAATAATCGCCCGGAGACGACATGGCGCCCAACGAAATCGAACGCACCACGACTCAGAGTCAGAGAGTCTCGTGCTCCAAGTGATCCAACATCACAACAGTTCCAACACGAGGCCTGCATCAAAACCACTCAAGAAAACAGCGGGGAGATGCATCGGATGTTAGTACGTTACAAACTAACATGCCGATATCCACCTTCTGCAGCCTGAAACCGTCGATGTGTTAGATTTTTCGAGCCACCCGACTTCGACGCCGTACCTGATGGATGGATGGACGATGGATGTCCCCGGAGTAGCCAGTCCCTTCCTGCCCTACCATTATGTGGTCCAGAGTCACTACGGAGGCTCAGGTAAACTCGCCTACAACCCACCGGCGACATGCAGAAGGTACCGACAGGGCTAGAACGGGACGTAGCGGCCGACAACCGACCACATCGCCGAGGATGGACCTGCAGATGCCGGCCACAACACCGACCACCGCCTGTGAGTGTTTTGTGCAGTGCTAGTGCGCGTTTCGCGAGTGTTACGTGAGTGTAAGTGCTTAGAGAACTGTAAGTAGATCTGACAATATGGACATATCCATTTTTTATAATATTTCATGCATTTTTATAATATTTCATGCATTTTTTTTCTTCTTTTTCCTATAGTTATGACTTGTAAAAAAATTGTTTTTTCTTAAGGATGTTAATAAAAATCAGCTTTTTTTATCAGCATCAGAGTCTCTAAAGCAGGGGGGGTGACGTCCAGGCGCACCAATCACGCGCCTCGACTTTGCCTAGTCCTCCCTTTTTTAACTTTTAAAACTTTTAATTATTTTAATTGGTTGAGAAATGAAAAGGTTTCATGTAAAAGTTAAAATACTTTAAATATGGGACATTTTCGGATCTCGCTCTCAGTCGTGGTTTTACTCTCAGAGAGTAGCCGTCGAGCTCCTCACTGGAGGACTCGGCAATTTTCACACAAACCCGTAAAAGACTCTGACGCTGAGTTTTTTTCTACTTAGAAATACTGTGTTTTATTTCTAAAGTACCTACACCACCTGCAGCATTGTCTTTTACAAGATAATGACCAAAACAGAGCGTACCGGCTAACTACGCAATATTTCACAATATTGCGCAATAGTTAGATGATATTAGTAAACATGGTTATGGCACCGAGATGCATTTCAATTTCCTACGTTTACTAATAATCGCCCGGAGACGACAATAACATAATATAAAACTTTAATTATTACAAATTGTTTTATTTTAATGAAAGCAATTATTAAAAATGTCTATATAACTTGGAAAATATAATATATTGAATTGTTACCTTAATTCACAAAATTTTGAACTTAACTTTGAAAAACAAAAAACTTGCTAAATCCCTGGGATTGGAGCTGCAAGGACAAATTCTCAAACTGGAACACAGGGAACCATTTCCATACCCAGGAACGACGATCATATCAGTTTTAGTGGAGGAATCAAGCTAGCAACCGATAACACTGCTGATGGGACATCCTATATACTAATCTTTTCAAAAACTCCACCTGTCTCCGGTACACTGTACAAATCCTCTGATTACTACTCTGTCAAAATGGCATTTTATGCAAAGAGTATTATTATATCATATTCACTGGTCTTAAGATATAACCAAAAAATTGAACCGACTTTGTTTCCAAGTCGACAGACACCACTTCTTAGCTTGACTCATCGTTCGGTTGATTTAGCTTGACTGCCTCACTGCGTTACATTCTCTAAATTCGACCCCACAATTTCATTTCCCCCTGCGTCTCTCAGGCGCCAGGAAACCTAAATAAACAATATCTCAGGCTTATTGCATTGTAAAAAAAATTGAATACCTGACTTGCAATAATTTTTTCTAAGAACCCCTTTCTACAAAACCTAAACAAACAATATTCCCCTTGATATTCGTTCTTAACAACTTCGAAACGACCAAAACAACTTTTTTTTTCAACCGGAATATTAGGGGACTCGTGTATATTTACTTTTAAATTGGGTAAAAATAACACGTAGTTATTGATTATTCTAGCGACCCTAATTTTAAGCTGACAATGTAACAAAAGGTTATGGAATTTAAAAGTAAACATAGACAAAAATATTTCCAGCGTTATGACGCATTTAAAAATCTCAACTTAAAATTTTTTCGTAAAAGACAAACACAGATTTCTTGGCAATCTTTATGCGTACTGACGAGATAAACAAACAGGGACGTATTATAAAAATTTAAAACGCTACAATTATAGATACACACCATCTCTTCGTCGACTTCAAAGCAGCCTATCACAGTATGACAAGAACTGAATTAAATAATGCAATTATAGAATTTGGGATGCCACCTAAGTTAGTTAAGTTGGTGCAACTAACAATGCAGAACGAAGCTCATGCGTTAGAATTGAATGAGAAAATTCTACTTCTTTGACATTAAAAATGGTCTAAGACAGGGGGATGCGCTGGCGTATCTCCTCGTTAATATTACCTTGAAAAATTCAATTAAACAATTAAATATTAGAATGAATGGAACTAATTTAAAACAAATTGACGCAGATTCTCGGATTCATTCATTCATTCGCTGACGATATAGTTATAGTGGGCAGGAGTATGAGAGACATGGTGCAGTGATTTACAAGGCTTGCGGACGCGGCAAGTGAATAAGGACTTGTGTTAAACGAGGAAAAAAACAAATACATGTTGGTTTCTAAAAACTCCCGAAATATCCAACAAAAAATTCAAATTAACAACCATACCTTTGAGCATGTCAAAGAATTCTTGGATCTTGATCGCTAGTAAACGCAACAAACACGAAACGCGACGAAATAAAAAGACGAAAATAAAAGTGACCGATGTATTAATAAAAGTGACCGAGTAATTCACAATAGAATACATAAGAAATTAGATGAAGGCATAAGTAATACACAAATGGGATTTAGGAAAGGGCTGGGAACACGAGAAGCATTGTTTGCATTAAGTGTTCTTTCGCAGAGATGCTTAGATATTAATCAGGAAGTATATGCCTGTTTCATTGATTTTGAGAAGGCATTTGACAGAGTGCAGCATAATCGACTTAAAGAAATTTTATTAAATAAAAACATAGACAGTAGAGACATTAGAATCATCTGTAACCTCTATTGGAATCAAACAGCAAAAGTGAAAGTTGAAAACGAACTGACCAAGGATATCCAGATTTGCCGTGGGGTCCGCCAAGAGTGTATTTTATCACCCTTGTTATTCAATTTATACAGTAAAGCCATCTCAGAATTAGCGCTTGCCGAGATCAGTGAGGGCCTTATAATAAACGGTGAGCCACTTAATAACATAAGATATGCTGACGACCCCGTCCTTCTGGCAGGAACACTAGAAGAACTGCAACACCTTGCTGAACAATTAAATATATATTGCAACGATTATGGACTAAAAATCAATTTGAAGAAAACCAAGTTCATGGTATTTACAAAAGCACAAAACATCAAAGTTAAGCTAATACTAGATAATACAGAAATTGAACAAATATCTTTGTACAAATACCTTGAAGCATGTATCACAGAAGATACTGATAAGACAAAAGAAATAAGATGCCGCATTGAAATTGCGCGGTAAACTTTTAATAGAATGAGAAAACTTTTTTGTAATCGCGATATCAATATATCGCACCGGATAAGAATGCTTCGATGTTATATTTTCTCTACCCTTTTGTATGGAGTTGAAGCTTGGACACTTGAAAAATCCAACAATAAAAACCTAGAAGCATTCGAAATGTGGTGTTACCGACGTATTTTGAAAATATCATGGATGGATCGCAAAACAAACGAACAAGTTCTCGAACAACTAGGAAAACAATGCGAAGTTTTAAATTCCATAAAAATCAGGAAATTGAAATACTTGGGGCACAGAATAAGAGGTAAAAAGTACGAGCTACTAAGGAATATAATGAAGGCTAAAATCAAAGGTAGAAGAAGCGTAGGAAGACGTAAAATCACGTGGCTACGCAATCTCCGTGAATGGTTTGGATGCAGTTCAATTGAACTATTCAGGCGAGTAACCAATAAAATTATAATTGCCAGAATGATTTCCAATCTCCGATAGGAGTGAAACTTGAAGAAGAAGAAGATGTATCAACGCAGATAGCAAAACTTAACTGGAAGTTCGCTGGACATACTATAAGACAGAAAGACGACAGATGGAATAAGACGATTATACACTGGAGACCACCATATAGTTACAAACTAAAAAGAGGAAGGACACAAATGAGATGGTCAGATGACTTGAAGAAACACGCAGGCCCGAAGTGGATATAAACTGCCTACAATAGAGAGACGTGGAAGATGGAAGAGGAGGCCTATGTTCAAAATTGGACAGCAGGGGCTGTATAGATAGATGACGGTCTGTAGAAACATTTAAAAAATAAAAATATAAAACGTGCAGTAAAGCTCAATATATACAAGACCTTAATAAGACCGGTTTTGATATATGGGGCTGAAACGTGGACCTTATCTCAAAATGATGAAAGACTTCTTGGTATTTTTGAGAGTAAAATTCTTAGACAGATTTTTGGAACCGTAAAGTGTAGAGACTTAGATGGGCTGGACACATTGCTAGAATGTCAGATCACGAATACACGAAGAGATTAACGTTTTCAAAATCAGAGGGCACAAGAAGTAGAAGACGACCACGAAGGAGATGGATTGGTGATGTGGAAGAATACCTACAGATTCTAAGGGTCAGAAGATAGACGGAAGTTGCCAGGAATCGACAGGAGTGGAGACTTCTTTGTGAGCAGACTAAGATCCACACCGGATTGTCGAGCTACTTATGATGATAATGATGAGATACGTTTTAAAATTAGAATAAAAAATTCAGTAAAATACTTGAACATAACTCAAATGTTTATTAATAAATAATACAGCGTAACATGTGGGCTTAATGAAAAATTTAGAAGTTTTACAAAGAAATGCCTTAAAACTATGAGGCATGCAAACAAAAAGTATGCGATTAGACCACTATAAATCTGAATGATTTTTCAATTCATCTAATTATGTATCAGTTCATCCTCAGAAGATCTATGTTCGCGGTGTCCTTGACCAGATGCTAGGGTCGCTAACTCAGCGGGCAAGTTTTTACAAAAATGATGATGTACAGGTGGTATGTATGGCAGTAAATCTATCATGTCGTACTTCTTTGCAGGTGTAACAGTACTTCTTGTTGGATTGAGTGGTTCTTGTATTATGTTCAAAAGCTAATGGTCCTACCAACAGTTTTCTTTTTAGAAAAATCAACATTATAAAATTCACTTCCGGGATATTTCGTAAATTAAAATTTAAGGGGTTAACCTCTCTAAATTCGAAGCCATATTATTTTGAACTAAAGTGGTATCCATTAGTAAATTGTTATAAATTCATAAATTATTAATATGAATTAAATAATTATAACTTTTCTTTCTTTCTTTCTAGGTCCACAATTTTGGGGCCGAAAATATAAAGGATGTAATGGTGGTAAACTACAAAGTCCGATAGATATAGAAATAAACAACGTAGTAAAAATAAATTTTCCACCGCTCAGTTTTGAAAATTTTGATAAACCTATAGAGACTGTTAAGTTAGAAAACAATGGCCATACGGGTAAGTTGAATATACATTTAAAACTAAAAGAGATACTTTATAATCATTTAAAGTCCATTGAATGTATTTAACAAAATATTGCCCAAAGTGAACTTATTTGAACTATATGAACTACTTTTTATTAAAAAAAGATCCTTTGTAAAAGGTATCTATTAATATATACCTTTTACAAAGGATTTTTAATAAATTTTTTAATAGATGGTATACAGCCAACTACAGGAACGTAGATTCCTTGTAAATTTATCCGTTATTTTCATTAATAATTGTACCAAGATATCTGTATTTTTTTACTTTTTCTATTGAAACTCCTCTTATGTTTAAAATGTTGTGTTTTGGAAATTGTCATAAATTTTGTTTTATTAGCATTAATCCGGCTTCAGCAAAGCCTTTTTTATTGTTATTAACGAAAAGGTACGCTAAGCCCTGTAACCATATTAAGGCGTTGATTATGGTAATGTTCTTCTGTATTACTTGAAGAGGACAACCACTCTCTATGAAAGTTGAAATTCTTTTTAATAAAGTAGTTTCTATAGATCATATTAATATTCTGAATAATGTCTTGGTCCAAGGATTGGCAATGCGGGGTAGTATTATGTAGAAGAAAAGTTTAACATTCTCCAGGACAATCTTGGAGTGAGTTGTATGAAGCATTATCCAGAAACAATATTACTTTTTTACTCTGCTTTAACATCTTTGTCAAATTTATAGAAAAAAAAAAGATTGTTTGTTTATGAAGTTTGTCCTTGATACGAATTACATTAAAAAGCTTTTTTTCCCAGCCAGATCTGTACGAGGAACATTCGAATGAAAAATAACACACCGTCAACAATTAAAGAACTATACATTTTATAATTAAATTATTTTACAGTTTACTCACTAATCCAATTGAAAATAGAAAAAGTATCTGTACAACTAACAAGAAAATAAATTCTAAGTATTAAAACCTATTGAATCATATACAAAATACAATCAAACATTAGTCAAATTGTAAAAGATCATTTTTTGATTCATGTATGGGGATTTAGAGTGACGATAAGTCAAAACGTATTAATATTTTTGGCACCTTGACACCTTGAAATGGTTTAAATTTAGAACAAAACGGTTGAACTTGAACTGCATGAAAAAGCCTACCCACATAGGGATAGACAAAGGTGATGGTGAAATAAAAACTTTTTCCGCAAATCGCCAGGAAATTTTGATATTCCTGTCAAAATTTCTTGAAGAAAAAGTCAGGACTTCCTTACTGTAAGGAAATGCCTTACTGTAAGGAAAGTATATTTCCGTACAGTTGTTAGTGTTCTATATAAATTAAATTTATAAGCGTCAAGTTTGACAATTCAACCTCAATACGTTTCCATAGTAACCCAAGTAATTTTATTAGGAATTTCAAAGCACCATTTATTTGGGAATAAAATTATCGCGTTTTTATTTAAATCAATTAATATCTGGTCGAATTTTAAAACGATTTGCGGAAAAATAGTATGTTTACCTCGTAGGAAAAGCCACATTCCTGGATTCTGTGTTGCTAAGTCTCGGCTTGCGCCTCGACTTAGCAATCTTCACAGTCGTCCAGGAATGTTAAGCTTTTCCTACCCGGTAAACAATGTACTATTATCCCAAAATCAGTTTAACGAAAAACAAAAATATTTGTTATACCTAACTGAGATGACCTAACATTGAGATTAGTGGTTTCTATTATGTAAATAAAAATTATTTTATTAAGGCTTTCTTTAGTTAAAATGGTGAGAGTATTAGTTGTTAACAGTTTCCTTATCACTGTGAACTAAATCCGATAGAGCTGGTATTGAGTGAAATAAACAGATTCGTGGCAAGACATAACACAAACTTTAAGAAGGAACAAGTAGAAAATCTAATACATGAAGCGTACTCTTAAGTTACTCCACAAAAATGGAATAATTACGTGCAACACGAGCACAATGCCTTCCACTGGGGATGTTCCAGAGTACTGTTTTCCATTAATAAATTCAATCGTTATACCACAAAAACCACAATAACAACTATGGTCGATATGAACTTCAATGAATCAGATGAACTAACTGAACTAACTAACAATAATTAATGAACTTAAACGAAATCAAATGAACTAACTAAAAAATGAACTAACTAAAATTAAGTTTAGAAATTTTAATGAGGGGTAAAGATGAATGCCAACATTCGTTAAGAAGCAGCACGCTAACCAGAAGAATTGATATTTTTTAATGTCTTTATAGGGCACGGCACACTAAGACTAAGAATTGCTACTTTTAATGGTTCCATAGAAATTTGACATAAATTATGTGGTATAGTTCGACTACTTTAATTTTTTGCTTAAAAATGTATGCTTTCATTTAAAACAAATTATCGATGACGTGATACTTTCTCAAATAATAGTGGCAAATATAAATCAGTTGCAAAAAAATTAAGGAAAACTGATATACAACTGCTTTTATAAACGCCTTAAATATAAACAACTGCCGGAAAAATTAATTAAATGATAAATGATTATTTAATGCATATAATCTTTTATTGCACATGTTCTAAAATTGGAAAAAAACAATTGTATAAAAGTATAAAACTATAACTAATCACTAAGAAATATATTTTATGTGTTAAATGACATAACACGAGAGTATAGGTAAAATAAATATAATATGCAACTTCCTCAAAACGTTTATGTGATGTTGCAATGAATACGTTATTCTGTTTGTAACAATTTTCCCGTTTATGTAATAAAATCTCAATAATTCTAACTGTTATACCGAGTGTTATTCAACGGGTGACAAAATTGGTTATTCAACGTGTAGAGCTTAGTTTTTTCAAACCATTTTTTCTCGGTCTCAAAATTAATACCTAATAAATGGTGGATATGATTTATTTATTTTTACGCACAACAGGCCGTTAAGGCCTAGGGCATTTTTTTACAACATAATCCTAATATTAAATAATTACAATTATTTTAAACAAAACTTTAACTTAAATATGTATATACAGAATTCTTAACTACTCTGAAGGACCTGGTGTACAATATTTCTCCATTCGCTTCTATTTTGTGCTTTTCTTTTCCAGTCCCTTACCTTCACGTGTTTAAGGTCTTCCTCCACTTTACTAATCCACCTCGTTCTAAGTCTACCTCTTCTTTTGGGACCGATTAATTTTCTTGTTATTACTAGTGTAGGCATTCTGTTTGCTGCCATTCTTTCCACATGTACCAACCATCTGATTATTTGTGCCTTGACGAACTTGGTAATGGTAAGTTCTTTATATAAAGCCATTAATTTATTGTTGGTTCGTCTCTCCCAACCATCTTCCGTGTTCCGTCCTTCGAATATGCGTCTCAATATTTTCCTTTCCCATCTTTCCAGAGTATCCTCTTCATTTTTATTTAATGTCCATGTCTCACCGGCATATGTTACTGTGGGTCGAATTACTGTTTTACATATTCTGAGTTTACCTTGTCTAGAAACGTATTTTGAGTTCATTAGAGCTATTAAACTACCTAATTTTTTATTCCCTTTTGCTATTCTGGCTTCGAGCTCCCATTTCTCTTTTCCATTTTCATCAAAAACTACACCCAGGTATTCAAATTTGTCCACCCTTTTAAAACTATAGCTTTTACAACTTACAGACCTCACACTTCTTTTTTCCCTTCTGTCCCTCCCATGATCATATATTTGGTTTTGTCTTCATTTAGTTCCAATCCGAATTTCTGTGCTTCTTCAATGATTTTCTTCACAACTCTTTTTAATTCTTTCTCAGTTTTTGCTAGGATCGTTAGATTTTTCATGATCGTTTGTTCCACCTTCATGCTGCATTTTCTGATTACAGTTTCTAACACTAAGTTGAATAATGTAGTGGATAAAGGATCTCCTTGTCTCAAGCCTTTTGCAACCGTAAATTGATCTGATATGTGACCCTGCCAAGCAATTTCGCACGTAGTTATTTAGTGTCATTTTAACTAGCCGGATCAGTTTCTTTGGTATGCCCAAATGTTCCATTGCTCGATACATTTTGACTCTATCGACTCTATCATATGCTTGTCTAAAATCCACAAACAAAACACGCAGGGGAACTTTACCTTCATAACAAGTCGTTTGTATCTCCTTTAATGAGAAGATTTGGTTTACAGTAGATCTGTCATTTCTGAAGCCGGCTGATATTCATGCAGGATTCTTTCCGTATAGCAATTTAGTTTATTTCTCAATATTCTTGCCAAGATTTTGTATACCGTGTCTAGTAAGGCTATACCTCTATAGTTGTCACACTTCAGTTTGTCTCCTTTTTTATACAGAGGGCATATGCGGGCCTCATACAGTGTCGGTCATGGATAGAGTGGTCATCTGGCACGAGATTGTTAATATAAAAATTGAAGGTGTCATTACGAGCTTGATTTAGCCCTGACGTTAGCTGGTGTTAGTCTATTAGTGTATCTATGAGGATTCGAGGCTATGCATTTTGTACGCGCTCTTCATTTTTCGGTTAGAATTTGTTTAATATGTAATGGCACATTGTGGCCTTCAGATTACCCTTTTAACTTATAGGAGTAGATTCCCAAGCAGTGTTTTGTATTACAGCCGTTAGCTTTTGTACTGCAAATTTCAGCCCATCAGATTCTTTTATTCGGTGATCTTACGTTATATTCTGGTTAATAGTGTTTTTAAATTCTTTCCAGTTTGTTTTTTTGTTACATAGTCTTAATGGCTGATGATTTTATACTGGAGTTGTGCTGAATGCTATTATTATGGCGCTGTGGTCCGAAATTAGGTCAAAACTAGGCTCTATTTTTGAATGCGTGTTAGATAAACCTTTAAATATTGCAAAATCTAGAAGATCCGGAATTTTGTTGTTACCTGCTGGCCAATATATTGGTTGTCCTGTATAAGAAGAATAAATTGTTTTTCTGTAATGATCAATATTCAAATTTCAATATTTTTGGCATTCCAATCGTCATCCAATCGCCTACTTCGCTTGATGACTGCTCTGAAATGAGTATATAAAGTTGC